CTACTACTCATAGCTTAACTAAACTTCGCATATCAACTTAATATGTTCTTTTATTAAAACATTCTAGTGTGGATACGGGTGTGTGGGGTTCCCTGTCCTCGACACCCACACCCGCACCCATACCCACACACACACCACACACTCTTGCAACCCAGTCCTATCTTACAACAGATGTGGTACAAGCTTTCGTTTACAATTACGTAGTTTCGTTCAGAAGTGTCCGTTGAAATATCTACTGAGTCAAAGTTTGAAATATGGTCGAGCTATTTCCATTGTTGACGAGAACATTATGTGAACTTATATCTTGTTGCAAGACACTATGAACTGTAAGAACCTATGCGAGCAAGATAAGAAACTGTCAGCAGATGTGTCTGGATTTTTTTGGATTTTGTTGGAACTTTGTAGATCTCTTTATTTTCTAAAATAATTATTTCTGAGAAAAATGAAAATTCATCGAAATATATTCTACTGAACGTTCTTGAATACTAATTTTATTTTCGAAAGCTTGATTTAAATCGATGAAATGATGTCTACCAAGTTAGTCCTTTTTCGGTGCCGAATCACCAAATAGAGTGGCGGACATCTCTTTTGGATATCGTTCACCGGCTATATCGGCTTTCTTGCAAGCTTGTCGAATTTCTTCGACTTCATCCTTGCTCAGTTGAATCTGTGCAGCGGCGACATTCTCCTCCAAATTCTTGGTTTTAGTTGTGCCTGGAATCGGAATAAAATCGTCACCTTGAGCAAGAACCCAGGCGAGTGTCAATTGACCAGTTGTGCAGCCTTTCTTCTTGGCCAGTGATGTTAACGTGTCGACCAACTGAAGATTTTTCTCAAAGTTTTCCTTGGAAAATCGTGGCATGCGTCTTCGAAAATCATTCTGTTCAAGATCGTCAGGGCTCTTGATTTGCCCCGTAAGGATACCACGACCCAACGGCGAATAACAAACGATCGCGACGCCGAGTTCTCGACAGGTTTTCAGAAGACCAATTTCCTCATGCTCGATTTCCAGACTAAATGGTGAGTATTCAATTTGTACAGCCGAAACTGGATGAACAGCATGAGCTCGTCGAAGTGTGTCACTCGAACATTCAGACAAACCAATATATTTAATTTTGCCCGCTTGAACAAGTTCTTTCAATGCGGCCATAGTCTCTTCAATCGGTACTTTTTTATCAATGCGATGTGCGTAATACAGATCGACCGAATTGAGACCGAGACGTTGTAAACTTTTCGCACACGCTTCTCGAACATATTGAGCATCACCTCGGATAGAACGCGTGCCATCGGGATGAAAAGTATTGGCGAATTTTGTTGCCAAAAATACCTATTGATCATCAAAAACAATTTATGCTCAAAAGGCAGTGTTATATTCGTTTGATTTCATTTCTCTCCGTTTAGAATTAATATCAAGAAAAATTCTGAAAATGGACTGCACGCTTTGAATATTCCTAGAGAAAACCAACTCTCTCATAGGTGAAAAATGCATTTTTGAAGATTCTGTATTAGGGTCGAGAGTGAAAATTTTTCCGCTTGATATATAAGACACTTTTTAGTTAGCAAAAGTTCATACGATTCGCGTACTGAGAGCATTCTCTAAGGAATGTAATGTTTTTGATTTCTTTAGCCTATGGCAAGTTTTACTGTGCTAGCCACGATCAATCTAAACTGAAAGTTGATGTGTCACATTTTTCAAAACAATCATTCTTCAAACACTGCAAATAGAAAACTTTTTTCGGAGAAACAGTTGTTGTTTTGAAAACGAAAAGTAAAACTTTGATTAAAGTATCGAAACTTTCAATGAATCTTTTATAAGAAACGTCGAACAGGTAGTATCCTTATTGGTTTGCTAGTGATGGCTACTGCTTACTCAAGGTTTGCTGGACTGAAGCTTTTTGATACGCAGAACTGAAACTTTAGTAGAGAAGTGTGAACATTGTTTAAGTTAACTAGATATGCAGTTGTTGGATTTTTGTGCAATGAAAGAATTCTGGTCCTCGATTAGAATTTGTTTCTTGAAAAGAATTTTTTGACTCCCATCCAAGCAGACGAGACCTCCGAAAAAACGCATTTTGGTTCGCTTTTTTAAGTTGATTTTACTGCATTAATCATTAACTTGTTAATATGTATTTTTTTTACAATGCTTAGTACATTTCAACTGATTGCATTTCTCAAATACAACTGAGCGTTCAATCTTTTTCAAATGAGAACCGCATTTTCTATGATAACTATTGTGAATAACCATTTATTTATACGCTGAAACGGCGTATAATAGACATGTAAACTATTTGATGATGATAATATCATGATGGAGTGATATTATTATTGTAACAAAATCGTTAACATACTTCCTTCGAGTAGATCCAAAAGTTTCATAATAATATGAACATTTATTTCTAATACATTAAAGATATTTAACTTATTCTTTTAATCGTGAAACGATTACCACATTATAGAAAATTGCTATGCATGTTTGATCAGAAAATACCAAAACTGATGACATCTATTTTATAATTGACTTTAGGGTATGTCCATGGGAAGTCGCCAGGTCGATCCGGCGACCTCGTTCAAATCCAATGAAACTTTCAGGGTTTGTGCAGCTTTCTGCGCCGATCATTTTGGTAATAAAAGTCTTAGGATTAGACCTCATTTTCGCAAAGATACAGGTCAAATACTATTAGCATTTTTTGCATTTTTGCAAAAAGTCAATGCAATATTTGATAGAAAAATCAATTCCGTTTTTTTTCGCTCAAATTTTGAAGCCAATAAGATATTCAGATTCCTCGTGAGGAGCTGCATCAGAATTCATAT